AGTCATACATCACCGAAAGACACTTACTTACTTATGGAGTTGAGCCCTTGGTCTTCCCAGTGGTCTCTTTCCTCCTGCCTTTCCCACCAATATCCTATATGCATTCCTTTCCTCCCCCATTCCTGCTACATTCCCTGTCCACCTCATCCTCCTTGACTTGATCATTCTAATTATACTTGGAGAAGAGTACAAGTTATGAAGTTCCTCATTGTGCAGTTTTCTCCAACCTTCTGTCACTTCATCCCTCTTCGGTCCAAATATTCTCAAACACCCTTCGTATATGTTCCTCCCTTAATGTCAGAGACCAAGTTTCACACCCATACAGAACCACAGACATAATTATAGTTTTGTATATTCTAATTTTTATGTTTTTGGACAGCAGGCGAGAAGACAAAAGGTTCTGGACTGAATGGTAGAAAGCATTAGCTGAGTTCAGTCTCCTATTAATTTCCTCCTGAATCAAGTTTCGATCTGTTATCGTTGTTCCCAAAAAACTGAATTGTGTCACATTTTCGAAACATCTGCTATCTATCTTTATGTCATGATTTTCATGATTTTGCCCTGCATTTTGGTGACGAGACAGTAACATATACTTAGTTTTCTCTGTGTTTACTTCTAGACCAACCCCTTTACTTGCGTCAATTACAGTTTGCGTGTTTTTCTTTATGGTATTTATATTATCACCCAGTAGACTCACATCATCGGCATAGACCAACAGCTCATGTGTCCCGTTCAATTTCAGTCCCTTCTGGTTTTCCTGGACCTTCCTAATGGCATATTCTAACACAAAGTTGAAAAGGAGTGGCGATAAAGCATCTCCTTGTTTTATACCATTCTGGATAGGAAATTTATCAGACAAATGTCTACCTGACGGACTTTACTATGCATTTCGTTTAAACACATTTTAATCAACCTAACTAGTTTCATGGGTATCCCAAACCCTATCAGAATATTGTACAATACTTCCCTCCTAACTGAATCACAGGCTTTGTTGAAGTCTATGAATAGCTGATGTACTGTCTCATTGTACTCCCAGTGTTTCTCCAATATCTGACGAATGCAAAAGATCTAATCTGTAGTTGATCTGTTACGTCGAAACCCATACTGATGACCCTCAATAATTTCATCTATATATGTACTTAACCTTGAGAGAAGAATATTGGATAAAATTTTGTATGAAGTTGAGAGCAGTGATATCCCCCGATAATTGCTACAGTCAGTTTTATCACCCTTCTTGTGAACTGGTACAATAATAAATTCCTTCCACTGATCAGGCAATTTTTCCTTATGCCAAATAGAAGTAATTAGCTCGTGGATCTTAGAACGTAATATTTCGCCTCCTGCTTGAATAAGTTCTGCCGGAATTTGATCACTACCTGGCGATTTATACCGTTTCAATTTTGCAATAGCAATTTCAACCTCAAAATGGGTGGGATCAGGTATTAACGGCTCAGCTGTTGGATGTCTATCTGCCTAACATCACTGACCCTATGTACATTCAATAACTGAGAGAAGTAGTTCCTCCACCCATTCAAAATGTTGTGGGAATCTGCAAGCAGATCACCATTCTCATCCTTCACTAAGTTACTGCTAGGTTGGTAACCCCTCTTAAAGTCATTTATTCCTCTATACAAGTCTCTAATGTTCTTGTTCGCCGACCACGGTAGCCAAGCGGTCGAAGGCATGTACTGTCTTTGCTCGCTTGGAAACCGGGATCGTGGGTTCGAATCCCACTCAGGGCATGGATGTTTAGTTTGTGTG